TGGATCACATTATCCAAACCGTCGAATTCTGGAAGATTTGGGGGTTTTCTTTTGTGGTTCCCATACCCTAAATGGGAGTAGATGTTCATTTTCCATCCAAAGGGCATTGTTTCCCCCTCCTGTTACTAAAGTGAGAAAATAAATATACAAAGGACACCCATTACAATAAGCATCCGTAGCTCTAGAGGTGATTTTTAACACCATAATAGCTGTGTCAGGTATAAAACTTGTATTGGGCTAACGCCTATTCTAACATGTAATACTATTTACTGAAGATCATCTCAGAAAGCCCACTATCCTAACATCTTAGAAAGCCTGGGATTCTAATTCCTCTCTAGCTAGAGCAGTTTTAGCACCAATTAAGTCTCTCAACTGGTTAAGAATGGTACTTAAAGCTAATGCTTTTGGCCTGTGTGTTGAGATTTAAATTGCCTATTGTTATTGAAAATTCTTAGTGTTTGAAAAACATTCTATTTGTTCAGGCTTGAAAGAAAAGATCTCACTTCAATGGAAAAAAAAAAAAAAAACAGAGAAAACATAAAGGAAATATAAGTAAATTCTAGAATACCTGGAAAGCTAGTACATTTCAGGTTAAGGTTAACTGTGGAGGTAAAAATACGTAGGATTAAGACTGATTGATTGCTTTTGTCTCTTATGCAAATCAGATTAAATGTTTTAGAGTTTAAACCCATATCTCTTTTGGCTCTTTTTATTTTCAAATAAAAAGTTTAAGTGGGAATGGAAAAAAACTACTCGTTGGCTTAACATAAATCTTTAAACTGCAGGAAGCTTCACCCTCAAAAAGTACTTGAATCTCTGAGGGAAAAGAAAAGGCTGAATTCTATTTTTCATAAATGATGGATTATTGTACCACACTGTGTATTTTCCAGTAAAGTGTCCTTTTATTTGCACTGTGTGATTACAAGTTTCTAAAAGTATGTGTGGGGTCACTTGGGTGCTGTGGGAAAATGGAAGGAACAGTGTTCTGTTAAAATCAGTAGTGAAATCAGAAGCAAACTATGTCCTGATTATCACAGGCATGTGTTTAAATTTTGCTTTCCTTAATTGGTTATGTTGTATTTACTTAAAATGAATAATTTGGCAAGTTTTTCTCCCTTGACAACAGAAAAGCGTAAACTGTTTTATAAGTTTGGCTGTTAAAATCAGATTTGTAAACCACAATATTCAAAGACTTTTACTGCTGTTTACAGGGTCCCAGTGATGGTCCTTGCTTTATATCCATGCACTTCTTAACATTTTTATTTTGTATTTATAGTGTTTTCAAGTTATTTGGTTAATAAAAAGTATGCTATATATTAAAGACATCTATTGACTTCAACTTCAGCATAAGTCTTCTTAGAACAAAATGAGTGGAATGAATGATGGCACAGGCCTTGTAATTTGACTTGTCATCTGAGGACAATTATTTATGGCATCAGGAAATGGAAGTTGATGTTCTAGTCTGTCTCCAGGAAAGTAATCATTAGAGGCAACTTTGGAGAGTTTGGCTATGTTGAAAACTGTATAATCATATCCAAGACTCTGCTAATTTCTCAGTATGTATGAGAAGGAAACAAGATAAAGCATTTAAAAACATATTTTCATTTTCTTTGAAAAACCAATGCACCTTACACAGAATTTTCACATGTGGAGCCAGATGGTGGTATTGAAGACAATATAATATACATATATGTCTCTCTAATTAAGAATACTATCACAAGAATACCTAGGGGAGTTCCAAAAAGATATAACTCACACTATAATTATTTTCATAATCTAGCATTTATACGTCATGTGTATATATTTTAATTTGCAAAGTACTTTCTAATGGCATCATTTTTACTAGTTCCAAATGGAAGAAAAAAAAAAATACCTTGTTTGGCCCTGCATTTCTTGGCATACTGTCATGGGAAATGCCAAGGTTTTTGAGGTGAGACCAGAAATAGAAAATATTACTTTTGTAACTTATAAAAACTTAGATTGATTATTCTGTGTCATTTCAAAGATGGACTCGAAACCAAAATCGCCCTGAGGCAGAGTTATTCTGAAGGATGTCAAGTGTTTCTTTAGCCTCCAACACTAGAACCCAGACCCCTGGGACTTTCACTACAGCTGTCAGTTGAAGCAGATCATACGTGACTGGTGGTCACTGTAATGACTGAACCTAGAAGGAAAGTTGACAGGATGACACATAAACACACTTTATTAAGATCCTCGGAATGACTATTCCAACTAGACCATTTTGAATTAGTTAATGGCTGATACTCAGGCTTCATAATCTTGTTAAAGCAATTTTTGTTTGCTTGGGTTTTAAGGGCACTTGTTTTTTCTCCAGAATGACCCAAGTTCAGCCCCTCTTCTGGGATCCTTTAGTCTCTAACATTTCCATTTGACTCCTAACTGTGCTGCATTACAACTACACAGGACAGCCAGGTGGGCATGGCAGCTCACACCTGTAATCCCAGTAGCTTGGGAGGCCATGACAGGAGGCTCACTTGAGGTCAGGAGTTCAAGACCAGCCTGGCCAACATGGTGAAACCCCACCTTTATTAAAAATACAAAAAGTAGGCCAAGTGCAGTGGCTCACACCTGTAATCCTAGCACTTTGGGAGACTGAGGCAGGCTGATCACTTGAGGTCAGGAGTTCAAGACCAACCTGGCCAACATGGGTAAAACCCTCTCTCTACTAAAAATACAAAAATTGGCTGGGCATGGTGGCGCTTGCCTATAATCCCAGCTACTCAGTAGGCTGGGGCTGGAGAATTGCTTCAACCCAGGGGGCGGAGGTTGCAGTGAGCCAAGATCGCACCATTGCACTCCACCCTGGGCAACAGAGCAAGAGTCCATCTTGAAAACAACAACAACAACAGCACAAAATTAGCCAGGCATAGTGGTGCATGCCTGTAATTCCAGCTACTCAGGAAATTGAGGTATAAGAATCACTTCAGTCTGGGAGGTGGAGGTTGCAGTGAGTTGAGATTGCACCATTGCAATCCAGCCTGAGTGACAGAGGGAAACTATTGTCTCAAAAATAAATAAATAAATAAATAATAAAAATAAATAATTACGCAAGCCATATACATTTTATGCACAACAGTTAAACCCAGCACTGCCATGCATATAGTAGGTGGTCAGTGTATGTTTATTTTTTATTATCTTCTAGCACGGTCCAAAATGAAACATATATGTAATGTAAAATCTTCTAGTAGCGACATTTTAGGAAGTAAAAAGAAACAATTTAAATAATGTATTAATAAGATATTTTATTTAGCTGAAAACATCCAAGACATTATTATTTCAACTTATGGCTCAAGCTGCATTTCAAGCTTCCATAGCACCAAGTAACTAGTGGCTACATTGGATTGAACAGGTCTAAAGCAGTGCTTTTCACACTATTGAGATACACAGAGAAAATCATAATACTTGTATAACACACTGGTGGAAGCTGCTCATAGCTGAAGAATATATAGTACAACTGCCCCAAGGACTCAGGCTATCTTGGTCCTGCCTAAATTACCCTTAGAGCAGAGGGCATCCGTTAACTCTCACACCTATAGAACCCATTTTTAAAAATTTAATTTAAAAATTTTTAAATTTTACTTTAAGTTCTGAGATACATGTGCAGAGTGTACAGTTTTGTTACATAGGTATATGTGTGCCATGGTGGTTTACTGCATCTATCAACCTGTCATCCAGGTTTTAAGCCCCTCATGCATTGGGTATTTGTCCTAATGCTCCCCTTGCCCTCCACACCCCAAAAGGCTCCAGCGTGGGTTGTTCCCCTCCCTGTGTCCATTCTTAAAAGCCCAATAGCTGAGAAGCTATCCACCTTTCTCATGTGATAGTCATTGTACTTTTATTACCAATTCATTTAAAAAATAGATAGCTCATGACGGATACATAGATGATAGATATGTATGAGATTATATATATATATAATACACACACACACAAATTATACTCTAAGTTCTGGGGTACATGTGCAGAACGTGCATTTGCTGCATCCATCCCCATCATCTACATTAGGTATTTCTCCTAATGCTATCCTTCCCCAATCTCCCCACCTCTGCTATCCCTCCCCTAGCCTCCACCCACCGACAGGCCCTGGTGTGGGATGTTCCCCTCCCTGTGTCCCTGTGTTCTCGTTGTTCAACACTGATTTATGAGTGAGAACATGCGGCATTTGGTTTTCCATTCTTGTGTCAGAAGAAGACATCTTGAATGTGTTTAAGAATACGCTTGATGAAAACCCAGGCCTTATGCATTATATTCATCCCTGAATTCAGAGCCTTTAGCATGGAGCCTGATTAGCAGACATTCAGTGAATATTTTTTTCTGGAAGGAATTTTACATGCACCTGACTTTGAAGATAAATCTGAGGCTAGGAAGCTGAGGAGAGGGGCCTAATGAAGACGTGGAGAAAATTTGAAGCAAATTATGTTTCTGAATTTTACCTAGAACTAGTAGTAATTATAAATCAATAAGGAGAGTAAGAAATTCTGCTTCAGAAAAATAAATCACTTTGGGTTAATATAAAAAAGAAGATTGACAAAATTATTCAAACAAGCAGGATCTTCAGAAATGCCTGCATTAGCTAGAGATACTATATAACCAAATTTAATTGAAATGAACAGTGCTAAAGAGTTGTCTCCTGTAGTTTAGAATGAATTTTTCTTTACTCTGGCCATGATTTTGTGTATAAATACAAATGGGGAATTATCCATGTAAAGATTATCATGCTAAATATAAGGAAATGAAGGTGAAAATAAATTGTGAATATATGGAGCTAATCTCATTCTTACTGTACATTCACGTTGCAACAGGACTAATACTTTTATGTGAGCAAATTTTACTCATATGCCTTGTTCTAGACAGAAGAGCCTGAGCTATTAATTCAGGTAGTTGTTTCATAACTACTGTTTTCTATTCAGATTTGCATAAAGTAATAATCATAAAGAAGAAATTTACTGAAAGCCTCTGATTCTTTTTTAAATCTTCAGTGTTCAGGCTGCATCATAGTGCTTCTGATACAAGCGACAAAAATCGAGTTAAAAGCAGATTAAAGAAGTTTATTACCCGAAGACCTTCCCTGAAAACTCTGCAAGAAAAAGGACTTATTAAAGGTACAGGTCATTTTATACTTGTACTGTAACTGTGATAAATGAATGTGCCTCTGTGTTCACAGCTAATCAGCTCTAAAGGAATATTATAATACTTTATTCTTCTTAGGTTCCTTATTAAATTTCCTACTCTATAACAGAGAAGAAAAATAATTGTCCAGAAAACAGATCCTGAGGAAATAAAGAAGGTATCATGGGAACACTGAACAGTATACTTAGTTTTGCCCTGAGAGGATCTGTGTTCTGCACGAGGAACAGAGAAAGAATATTCTAGTGGCCTGTTAGAATGATCCCATGTCCTCCTGTGCCTGGGCAGTTCCAGTTCACACCTGGGACTTAGTCAGTATGAACCAGCTCATTTACTAACCCAGCCCTTTTCCCTATCAGAAATTTCCTGATTTGGATAAAAGCTTATCTGATCACCCTAGTCATAGTCTGAAGTAAGGCTGGGAAGAAAGTCTAAGACAAACACATGTAATGAAAACGTATGGAAATTGAGAACTGGCAATCTGAAAACTCAATCCAAACTTATACAACTAGGTAGTTTTACAGAATAGATGATTGTAAGAATAGATGCTTGCCACCAGAATAGAAAATCATGGTCTCTGACATTAGACTAATTGGATTACCAGCCATTCATTTTAACATTGATCAAGTTACAATCTTCTCTGAGCCTCAGCTTTCTTATCTGTTAAATGGGGATACTTATATACATCACTGAGAGGAATAAATGACATAGCCTATGGGAAGCATTCAACAGAGCTTCTGGAACAAAAGTAAGTATTCTATGAACGCCCTCTGCTTATTAACATGGTTGTTATTCATTATTGTTGGTATTGCTGTTAGTGTGTCAGATAGATGAAAGGATAGATGGTTACACAGAACCAGTGATTCGTACATTTCTATAACTGGAAATTACCTTATAGAATATATAGGCTATAAAAACAAGAAAACATATGCATGAAGTTCATTATTCTCTGTATTTTTCAATTTTCTAGCTTATGGGTACCTTTTGAAAATTAAATATAAGAATTTGTAAAGGGGTGAAAAGAAACTCCTAACCCTGGGAAAAAAGCTGAAAGGCTAATCTTTATAGAAATCAAAAGGTGATTTAATAAGTGATCGTTTCTCAGGAAAAGGGCAAAGCAGGTCCTAATTTTTTCAGCATTACTTAAAATGACAAGTGTTTAAATAATTTATAATAACTGTACGATCTATCAGTTTCAGTCTGTTTTGAAACAGGTGAGCAGATCAGAAAAATTAGCTGGCATTCTGAACCAATTGTAGAAGGTGAAATTTCATGAAGCAAAAGCATACACATTGCTAATAGAATAGAAAATTCTTAGGACAGAAGCATTTAGAGGTAAAACTGGGACCCTGGTTTAAATCAGACTTGCCTCAGACTTTTACCCGCTGATGTATAGTACTTTTCTTAGTTGTAGACAGTAATTGACCCTCTATAGATTTAACTTCACTTAAGAGTATTACTAGTACCCTCAATTCTACTTCACAATTCATCCTATGGATGATCATTTTCTTAGGAAAGATTCAGTTGCAGGTTAACTGTCATCTTGAAAAATATATAACTAGCTAAGCAGCCAATAATCCCAGTTTTACATAATATCCAAGATTTCATGACTGTGGCAAAATAAAAGGGGTTATACTTCAGTGGCAGGGTCTGGCTCCATGTGAAGTGCTGAAGAATTAATTACTACAGTGCTCTAGAATTGGTCTCAGAAAGCATTAGGGAAGGTGGATGGCTAATGCAGTTTTCATACTGAAGAACTGGAACCGCTAAACACACTCTGATTCATGCATTTCTTATCTTAGAGCTCCATTAAATTTTCACCATAACTGACCAATGAGTCAGTATTCATTAGTAAGGCTATGGAAAATCTATGTAAAATTCTGATTTGATAAGCTTCCATTGTTGTCTTCAGTGGAATTTTTTTTTTTTTAAGTAAAGATCAAGTTATGCAAATATAGTCACTTCTTGGGCTTGTTTCAGGTTTAACTATGAAACTTTTTTCAAGGCTTTTACTAAATTGTTCTTTTTTTTTTTTCCAACTCAGTAAAAGGCCTTAAACCAATTTTTAAAAATACCTGGCTAGTCACATTTAGTTCTTTAATCCATTTTTTTTTTCCTTGTGCTTAAGGCAAAGACTTAGAAAAACAATAAAATAAGTATTCTTAATCAGTTAAGAAAAATTACATAAAATAAATTAATGATTAATGGTTAAATGGTTAATTTTTCCAAGCAAAATTACTTAGCTCTTTCAAAGAGGAAATATTTAGAAAGAGGAATAATGGCTTCAGAATTGCTCTTCAGCTCATTTGGCCAGAGAATCTGTATTATATTTTATACACTGTCTAACCTTCCAGATTTACACAAAAGGCCTCCATTACCAAGGTTCAGGAAAGCTGTGCTTGGTAACCTGGGTCTTACAATTGTGCTTCCTGAGACCTGGGAGGGATTCTGCAGGGCCATGTCAATTTTCAAAGTGTTTACTCTTTCATATAATTTGCCAATAGGTTGAGGAGACTTGGCTTTGAATTCAAGCATCCTGTATTGAGCACGATAGGGGCAGGAAGGGTTAATATTTTATGGACCCTATAATGTCCATCAGAGTCATGTACACAAAACACTTAATGTGAAAAGAGAACTTGCCCCAATGTCACACGATCTAAACTCAATCACAAACCCTTTCTTCAAAACCTGTCTTTTGGATTCACAGAGACATGACCAATATGTGGTTTCATTAGCTAGAACCTAGACTTGGAAACAGTCACTTAATGGTGCTGTATTTTCTAAAAACACTTTTTTTTTTTTAGACAGAGTTTCACTCTGTCACCCAGGCTGGAGTGCAGTGGCATGATCTTGGCTCACTACAACCTCTCTCTCCTAGGTTCTTGCGATTCTAGTACTTCAGCTCCTGAGTAGCCGGGATTTCAGGCATGCACCACCATGCCCCACTAATTTTTTTTTTTTTTTTTTTTTTACTAGAGATGGGGTTTCGCCATGCTGGCCAGGCTGGTCTCGAACTCCTGGCCTCAAATTATCTGTCTACCTCGGCATCTCAAAGGGCTGGAATTACAGGCATGACCCACCACACCCAGACCTGTATTTCCTAATGTCTTTAATATGACTAAAGAGAAGGACACGTTATGATGTCAAACAAAGTGAGTCAGAAGAAAATTCTGAATGACTGGTTTCTCAATGAAAAGAAATCTTAATAGCACAGGTGGCTTAAGCAAACATTGCGCCATTGCAGGGGTAGCTTTGGAAAAGTTCTCCAAGTGCACTCAAGTTTGCCAAGGAATGGTGAGCCCTTTTTAAATATATGAGTTTATTACCATTGAACATCGCACTGGGAACAAAACTTGAATCCATTTAATATATAAATTATACGCAAAAGTGTCCATTTTAGGGTGGTAGATATGTTTGTAAATATCCTCAACTACTTTTGGAACTGGTGTAACAGATCTTTAGTTTTAACCCAACAGCCTTATGTCATCTTTCAAATAACAGAATGGACAGCCGAGATTAGGTAATACATTTTTTAGAGAAGATAACAGTTGTTTGGCTTTTTAGGAGCAATTGGTATGTCCTTATGTCAAAATAATAGCATCAGAGAGGATTCTGTGTTTAGAATCCTTTTCTAGTTAAGGACAAAACCATACTGGATGGCATTAACAGAAACTGAAATTAGTATCATACTACTTATTTTCAAATCAGTATATTATAAAATCTGCTTAAAGAATAAACAGCACACCTCAGGGATTGATGATAAGCAGAAGTGCTTTCCAGCCTGATCTTAGTGTTGCCCCCTAAGGGGTGCCACTTTGAATAGTTTCTATTTATAATTCTGGTGATTGGATTCATACCTACATCCTTGTTATTTAGGGTGAAAGTTGGTTTGTTTTGTCAATGTCCTTCTTATCTTCAATATTGTAATGTCTTACTTTATCTGTCTTAGACAGTGCTTTAGGTTTCTGCTGCAATCGGCATGAATTTTACTCAACTACACCAAGCCTCATCTTCTTGTCGTCTTGTGTTTTTGTTTGTTTGTTTGTTTGTTTGGAGATGGAATCTCGCTTTATCACCCAGGCTGGAGTTAGTGGCATGATCTCAGTTCACTGCAATCCCTGCCTCCCAGGTTCAAACAATTCTCCTGCTTCAGCTTCCTGATTGGCTGGGACTACAGGCGCACTCCACAACACACACCACTACTCCCTGCTAATTTTTTGTATTTTAGTTGATATGGGGTTTCACCATGTTGCAGAGGATGGTCTTGAACTCTTGAGCTCAGTCAATCCACCCACCTCAGCCTCCCAAAGTGCTAGGATTATAAGCATGAGCCACCATGCCTGGCCCTACTTGATTCTTCTCACCAGATACTTATGGTCAAATACAGCTCATCCCACAGCCTGCATTAGCTTTCTCCACAACCATGCCTACATCTCTACTTAATGTTTCGTTAACCCTAGAAAATGTAGCCATAATAAGCCTAAGATGAAGAATTTAGTGCCACCTTCTTCTCTCATCTCCTCTGCCTCTTCTATTCTACTTCTATGTCATACAAATTTCTTTCATTTTACTTGTTTTTATAATTATGGCTTCTTTATAGGTAAATTTTAAAAGTTAAAAATAAAAAATAAAAAAAAATGGCTGAGCACGGGTGGCTCATGTCTGTAGTCCAGACATTTTGGGAGGACAAAGGAGGAGGATTGCCTGAGGTCAGGGTTTGAGATGATCCTGGGCAAGATAAAGAGACCCTGTCCCTCTACAAAAAGTGAAAAAAGTTAGCGAGGTGTGGTGACACATGTCTGCAGTCCCAGCTCCATGGGAGACTGAGGCAGGAGGGTTGCTTAAGCCCAAGAGGTTAAGGCTACAGTGAGCTATGATCACATCACTGCACTTCATTCAGCCTGGGTGACAGAGTGAGACTCCCTCTCTTAAAAATCAATCAAATATTCAGTCAATCAACATTCATACTATTATG